AAAAAAAAAAAAAAAAAAAAACCCCAAAGAAAACGAAAAGAGGATGTGCCAGGCATGGTGCTTCATGCTCGTAATCCTAGCACTTTGGTAGGCCAAGGCGGGCGGATCACCTGAGCTCAAGAGTTGGAGACCAGTTTGGACAATGTGATGAAACCCTACCTCTACCAGAAATACAAAAAATTAGCCAGGCTTGGTGGTGTGCACCTGTGGTCCCAGCTGCTTGGGAGGCTGATGTGGAAGGATTGCTTGAGCCTGGGAGGTGGAGGTTGCAATGAACCAAAATTGTGCCATTGCACTCCAGCCTGGTTGACAGAGGGAGACCCTGTCTCAAAAAAAAAAGGAAAAGTGCAGGGATATACACGCATCAGAAGAATATTGCTCCTTGATTGCCCCATCACCCAGCATCCTGGAAGTGGCTCCTGGCTTTTTTCTATGTCACTGCCTCCCTATCACAGGGAGTAACTAGTCACACTTTCTCATATGTATACATATATATATAGATAGATAGATAGATATATGTGTGTGTGTATATATATATGTATATTTTGTAATTTTAAAATATAGTCATGTATCAGTTAACAATGGGGATATATTCTGAGAAATGTGTTGTTAGGCAGTTTCATTATTCTGCGAACATCATAGAGTGTACTTATACAAACCTAGATTGGTAGAGCCTGCTACACTACATACCTGGGCTATATGGTATAGCCTATTGCTCCTAGGCTACAAACCTCTACATGATTCAGCATGATGCCACACTGAATACTGCAGGCAATTGTAACACAATGGTAAGTATTTGCATATTGAACCATAGCTAAATATAGAAAAGGTACGGTAAAAATATGGTGTTTTGGGACCATTGTCATATATGCAGTCCATTGTTGGCTGAAATGTTAAGTGGCACATGACTGTACATTTTCCTATTTTTGTCCTTTTAAGTATTAAAAGTAGCTTCTTTTCTTATAAAAGCAATACATATAGCTGGGTGTGGCAGCTCACACCTGAAATCCCAACACTTTGGCAGGCCAAGGTGGGTAAATCACCTGAGGTCAAGAGTTTGAGAGCAGCCTGGCCAACATGGTGAAACCCAACCTCTACTAGAAATACAAAAATTATCCAGGTGTGGTAGCGGGCGCCTGTAATCCCAGCTACCTGGGAGGCTGAGGCTGGAGAATAGCTTGAACCTGGGAGGCGGAGGTTGCAGTAAGCCAATATTGCACTATTGCACTCCAGCCTGGTTGACAAGAACAAAACTCTGTCTCAAAAAAAAAAAAAAAAAAAAAAAAAAAAAAGCAAAGTG